TACGGGTACTCTAAAAAATTACCCACAACGGATAGGGTAAAAACCCTCAAAATGGATATGAGATTGGGCACGAGAAACTATCCACGAAAATAAATGGGTATAGGTGCATGTACGGGTACCATATTATCCACCTCGCCCCATTCACGCACAATATAGATTTACATATTTCTATTTTTATTATTATATGCACATGTATGCTTATCAATTTTATAAAATACATCATTATTAAAATTGTACGCATTTTAATAAAAGTGTTTATTTATTTTATAACCAAACAATAACATTCTTGAATTTTTTTAAATGTTGTTAAAAACTTTAAATGACATAGTGCATGTTTGGATACACGTTTGAAGGTTATCCCACAGTGATAAAGAGAAGCTACAAATTGTAGCTTTTGATCTAGACACACGTTGTGTATCCAAACATAACAATAATACATTACAATTTATCAACAGCTTTTATCAGAAATATAGGTAAATGGGTACGGGTATGAGTAATTAGTTACCCATAGAATACAGGTACGAGTACAAAATTTGGTGCCCACACAGGTATGGATTCAGATACAGATATTTCTTCAAACCATAGATACGAGAGTGGGTACTATAGTACCCTGCCCATACCCTACCCATTGTCATCGCTACTTTTACGTAGTATTATGAATGGGTAATCCTATTTTTTTATCCACACCACCATTTCCTTAACAATCAAATTTTCTTCTCAACAAACCACTTATTCAAACACCTACGACCATTAAGGGAATTTTTTATTTCACCCCATGTTTTTCTTACGCACCATGAGAAATTCCTTAAATACCCCTAAAAACTGGAAGTATATTTCTGATGCGCACCAAAGTTTGATAAACTATATATTAGAACTGGAATTTAATTTCCAGTTTTTACCTGGAGAAGTATTCCCGGTTTTGTGCTACACAGAAACTCAACAAAATGCCACAGATTTAAAACCCACCCAACACATATGATACGATCATTGGGATTTAGTGTTGGAGCAGTGCGTAAAGGGGAATAAGTATTCGAGAAACCATATCTTGTAAGATTAATACACACCCTCTCATACGCACTTGCTGTTAGATGACCCATTTCAGGGAAACACATCCATTTATCCTCTAATGCAAATCCGTTCATGCAAGATACAAGAGTGTTATAGATATCTTTAACTTTCTCTTTACTCACGAACACAATTGTGTATAAATCTATATTGCCCCTCAACTCTTTGATAAGAATATCGCGAACAAGTTGGTGAGCCTCTTCCCCTTTATCGAGAAAACCAGAAACAACTTGAAAACCACAGTTACAGTCACCCCCAACATTGATGATCTGTCTAATGTACTTGTGCATAAAAACTGGCATGTGATCGATGAATGGTATTTTGGGTAGAGTCGGTGTAGGAGGTGGTTTGCTAATACAGGCACCTTTGAAATCAATTTTCTGAGATTTTAGAGTAGGTGAATTGGGAAAAATGTTGTCAACGTGTTCAAAATATGAAGGACTCCTCGTAGTTGAATTGTCACCCAGTGTCAGTTTCAACTTCTTAGGCGCCCTTTTAGTTTTTATCGATTGAGATGGTGGTTTCAAGTATGTGGTCTCCGGGAACACAATCTTCCTCAATTTATCTTTGATGTGGATTTTGGTAGCGTCGTCGGCTTTCAAAAATCTTTCTTGTATCGCTTCACATTCAGTCAAGATGGAAATACTTGATTTATCGTCTTTCATTTTTTCGTCATCTTCAAAACTGAGTCTCTTCCAATGACTAGATACCTCGTACATACGTATCAGGAAATCAACTTTTATCTTCTTAGATATAACTCAAGTACAAGGGAGACCATATGTTTTCACAATTGTACAACCATACTTTAAGCTGTCGGAACCGACATTAGAAGCTCGTTTGGCTTCGCGTAAAATATAATTCAGAGTTGTCTGAGACAAATTACTGACCAACTGAGAATATAGGGTGTTGTCTTTGAACATGTGTTTCAACACCATGATACTAAGACCACATGTTGTTTGTATCTTGTTATACTGATTTAGTATCATCTGGTTCACAAAATCTGAATCTGTAATCAAATCACCCTTGCTATTTCCTAGCCAATTCTTCAGACAAGCATGAACAGACTCAACTCAGTTTGTTGTTGTATTTCCAAGATGCATAACCACATCGGTACAAGCACAATCAATCTTCTTCTTTACCTGATCAAGTATTGTGCTTTTAACATATTTCAATAGATCGAGATATTTCATGCAAACATTCCCGAATTGTAAAATAGCATCAACATATAGCTCTTTTATAGATGCATTTATTATAACATTTCACGCATCCATAATTTTCTCCAAAATAACGCTCGCCTTGACCATTTTTCCATCTTCACCTGCAATCTATTTTTCCCCACCGCGGGTTTAACCCGACTTATCATATTTTTAGTAATATGGTTCCTACAAAGTAAGGTGTAAGAAGTAGGAAATACAGTTGCAACTGAATTCATTAATGATGTATCTCGGTCGATAGCAATGACTTTCGACACATCTTCTTGATCCTTCAACATTGAACTACAAACCTCTAAAGCCCATGCAAAGTTGTCCTATTTTTCGCACTCTAGAAATGTAAAACCAACAGAATACATCTTCTCAATCGACGTAACACCAACAATTTCCAACAATGGAAGCTTGTGCTTGTTGGTCTTATACGTTGAATCCATTATGAGAACATTGGAAAACGCATTGAACAATTTAATGGAGTCAGGATGAGGCCAATAAATATATCTTACTGTTACCCCATCATTCCCTCGTTGGTGCCTACAAACATAATTGTTTTCATCTAGAAGTTTCAAGAGGTGTTGCATCTCAGTTCGATCCCCCCTAATCACTAATTTGGATTGATAGTGTCTATTATAAACTTGTTTGATATTTGATGTATTCCCGGGTCTTTTGCGCTTAAAGGTTGCAAGTATGTTTATGGGTTGTACCAAGTTCAAAGTCATGTCAGAAACACATGTCTTCTCATCCAGAAGGAGCTGGCATGCAATTGGATGACCGACTAACTTTTGACTTAAATCATGGTTGTGTAAACCACATATCACATTAAATCTCCATTTGTTATTTTCCAAAAGATAACCACGCAACCTAAATGGACATTCACATTTTCTTGAACCGGTGTCGTCGCGTTTCAATATTTGAATACAACAAATATGTTTCCCACTTCTTTCACATGTCAAAGTTACAAATGTATTTCTTCTATCTGTACCATTATCGGACCTTCCAATCACAACACTAAATCCTAGTTTCGTAGCCTCTATACGAATCCACTGCAACATGTCTTCACGTAATTCAAACTCTTCTCTATTTTCAAAATGCGCATGAATATCTACCACCTTAGTTACGATAGGAGATACGAGAGGTGAAACAACTTGAGACACATTAAGTTTGAGAATGTTATCACGATGCACCATACCTAATGTAATAAAAAACATAAAACTTATTAACACTTACATAGATAATGGCAGAAACTACTGTCAAATAAACACAAACAGAAACCAGAATTGCATTTCCGATTATGTTTAACTACCAACCAGAAGTATACATCCAATTTTCGCGTAACCTTGTTCCAAAAAAATAAACAGATTAATGTAAGGAATGAAGATTGAAATGAATAAACTTTACCTTAAATTCCACTTCCTTGAGCTCCTTTTGATATGATGAACCACAAAAATGAAGATTTAGAGTGGAAAAATGGATTGAGAATGGAAGGATTTTTGAGAGATTTTATGAAAAGAAGAAGAAATGGTTTGATCACAAATGACTATGTTGATTACTGTTTTAATCATTATGAATTTTCCATAAAATACCGAAAGTATATTTCCGGTAATATATAAAATGATAAGGTGGCAGAAAAAAATCAATCTTCCCATTCTAAAAACAGAAAACATAATACCAGTACAGAACCAGAAGTATATCGCTGGTTTTGTTTTTACATTTTGAAGAGTAAAACCACATTTAACCTATTTTTGTAACACATATGGTACGAACCGAAAATACATTTTCAATTTTCAAGAAAACAATTTCGAAATTACAAAAGATCTTTCTTTTAAACATGAGGTAGAATAAGAAATCCCCACCACTAAAGAGCTCAACAAAACTCTATTCCCTTCAATCAAAACCACTTTAATATAACCTAAACCATTCATTCAAAATGCATTCTTTAAACTTCCAAAATTCAAATGATCTTTGAATCTTCCTACAAGGCAAGAAGACGCAAAACCTGCCTGGTTCAAAGAAGGGGTAAGTTCAAGAAACTTATAGGCCCCAAACAAAGAAAGAATCAAATATGATGGAGATGGCATCGCAAATTTCTCAACATCAGAGCCACTATAAACCCTTGCACCACATCCTTAAAAGATGTATATAACTCCTTCCTCATCTGAACCCTAGGATAGGCCACAACCGAACCACCCCGGCCCTCAATTCTCTCCTCTTCCCAAATAAAATTACCTTTATTTTGGAGGTATCCTAAACAAAAATATTCACTTTAGTTGATTTCTTATGGTACATGTTGTATACCCAGGTAAACCCTAGCTTTAATATTTGGGTGGCCATTTCCTTTTTCCTATTTCTTTTATTATACAATTTCCTTTTATCTTCTATTAAGAAAAAAATTGTTTAATAAAATCCTTACCAATTATTTACTTCAATTGATGAGAGTAAAGTTGTTTAATAAATCTCATACCAATTACTACTATTTACTTGGAGATACTTGTTTTGGGAAACTAATATTCTTTTGTGTATTCTTCATATAGCATTTCCAAATTTTGGTCATTGAAATACTTGTTTCCTAATCAAACTATGATCACACTCATCAAATATATCTGAAACATAACTGTTTCCTAATCAAACCATTAACAATGACTGCAAAATCTTTAAGCAAATGTTGCCAAAATCTAAAACAATGTTGAACAAGCTGCAAATAACAAATAGAGTTACATGATGAAAATACTAATAATCACTGCAGCTCAAAGCATCTCTGATTTTTTTCACCGCAGAGTTAACAAACTTATTTATCTTCTTCAGCACATTTAAGTCCGGATTACTCATCTTAGAGTCTTTGCTGATCAGCATCTGATAAGTTAAACTTACGATCGAACCTTCGTACCATTTACCGGCTACTTTCCCCATATTGTTATCGGAAGGCCGCCCATCCCCCGATATGGTTAAACCAGACGGAAGAAGAGGCAGCATGGAACAATCTTCCCCTCTTATCACGCAATTCATTGTGTTTGTATCAATCGGACAATAAACCAAACCAGATTCCATAGAGTGTGTATAACACTCTTGCAGAATTCTCATATTTTCATCTTCCACGTTCAAAGTCTACAATCACATGACCAAATGAAAAAGATATATAGTTAATCATTCACTTCAAAAAAAAAAAAACTAATTGCAAGCTATGGTAATTAACTCCATTAAACATTTATTGATCTTTATCAGATTCTTAATTAGCAAGTACCTTGATAATTGAAGAGAAGTTTCCTGGATTAGTTCCGTATGTTATCCGGTGAATCTCTTCCGCCGGATAGCCTTCGCATAGAACATCCCACTGCAAGATTAAAATTAATCATCAAATAAATATACTATAGACTAATTGATCATGTTTATATTACACTAATAGTCTTAATAATTAACCTGAAATCTTCTACTACTATCTTTGAAGAAATCAAAGGCATGATCAGGGGAGCATGAGAGCCAAAAGGTGAGAGAAGCAGTGAGGATGATGCCATTTTCAGTGCCTGGATCAGTACACCTTCGAACACAAACCCTAACTCCATCGCTATCTATTGTATTCAGCTTTGGAAAATCTGTGTTTGAAGCCATATCCAATGCTTCATAAAAGATTTTCAACATTCGTTCAGCGAGCTTCATTACAATCCTTTTCCCTCCTATGGTGATGTCAGTGGTAGATGTATTTGGAACTAAAGAGGTTGAAATCCTCTGACACATTCTTTCCATTGTTAAAAGCCATCTTTCAGCTCTATATCCATTGTTTCCACGAACTGGTTTTTCGAAGTAAGTGTCGGTTCGCTTATCATCTACTTGTATATGTTCCACCCAAGTTACCTATATATAATAGACCAAAGTTAGGGCATAAATAAATAAACATACATACTAATTAACAATGAATTTGAATATCTACAACAGCTGTAGTAGAGATTCTTTTCCATGGTTACTAACCCTGCAGGAGTTATTGGTAAGTTCTTGAATCATGCATCCAGATGGAAACTTCCAAACATTTTGAAGACATGCGTCAAATAAAGATCGGATTGACTGTGATGACACATCAGCTATCACCCATGCATCTTTTTCAATCTGTTTACAACTGCGGAGGAATGAGGTGTGTCGAGTTGGAATCAATGGCGACAGAATGTGCATTTTTGCATGCATCTGTACAAAATAGAGTTTGAATTATCACCAAGTTTCAAAGAAACTATATAGCAAAAATAAAAATAAGAAGGTGTTTAGGAAAATATACCAATTGCATAGCTCCATGGCGGCTTTCTGGCAAACCGGCCTCAAATACTTCTATAGTATACGCGGTTTTAACAATAGTTGGGAAAAGAGCAGTCCATTTTTTCTAAAAAGATTAGAGTAGTGCAGTCATATATATTTAATATCTATATTTGCAACATGTAAATAGCCTTACCAATATTAAAGATATAGCATTAAAAAATGTTCAAAATAAAAACATGTTTTTAGATTCTCTGCAGCGCCTGAGCTATATTACATAGCCGTTTCATCTGTAGGAACTATTTTTTAGATGTAAAGGCTCTGCATGTTGTGCAGTCGCTACAAATAATCTAAAACAATTAAGAGTTATAAAAGTGCTAACCGAATCAAGGAGCATGTCAACCAATTGTGCACCAGCCATGCTCACAACTATTGATTCCTTGGAGGCCTCAATACGCGCATCAGGTCCGTTTAAGACGCTGCTCTTTTTATACATCTTCTCATAAGTTTCGCGTTGAAGAACGAATCTGCCAGTCTTGGTCGACCTAAACCAGAACGGTTCATTCAATTTTATCAACCTTGTTAACTCCTCCAAAGCATTATTAGCTATCCCCATAATCATATTCTTCTCAGTTTCCATAGCTATGCTTAATGGATGAGGCAAACAACCACCAAAAATTCCAATATGAGATGCACCCATATCTTTATCAGCAGCAACAGGAACAGCATTCTCATCAAAGGTGGCAATGCGATTACCCGAAGCAAGACTAGGATCAGGAACAACATCCTTATCAACGGTAGCAATGTGATTACCAGAAGTAAGATTAGGATCAGGAACAACATCCTTATCAACGGTAGCAATGTGATTACCAGAAGCAAGATTAGGATCAGGAACAACATCCTTATCAACGGTAGCAACGTGATTACCAGAAGCCGGATTAGGATCACGAACAAGACCATGAACAGAAGTATCCCGAAGAGCATGATCCAAATTAGGAACATCTTCTGGGAACAACCAAGACAAAACAACATCATCATCATAAAGATATGTATCACCATAAGCTACAACATTTTGATCCTGTGCAACAGTAGTAGTAGTAGTCGTAGTAGTAGTAATAGCACGTAAACTTTGATCATTGGAAGAATTTCCAACATGAGTAGTAAGAGATGTCTCAGTTTGTTGAGATTCCTGAGTCACAGCAAAAGGGTTTTGGTTTTGATCATTGACAGAAAAGGCTTGATCTGGAGCAGGTATAGCATCAATATGGTTTTCAACAAGATGACTATTTTGAAAACATGCAGCAAGGTGTGAAGCAACAGTGAAAATATCTAATGCAGGAATCACAATGTCATTGGTTTTTTCTCTAGAACTTCCTTGTGAAGATGCTGTTGGATTTTTTCTCTTCCTTCTTTCTCTTTCTCCTCCTCTTCCTCTTCTGCTAACATTGGTTACTCTCTCCTGCTCAATAGTATTTCATAAATAAATATTCTCAATATAATCATTTTATGCTTTTGTTTTAAAATAATAACAATCAATATATAGATATTTATATATACTCGCCTCTTGACGCAACACTTCATCTTGTTGCTGCAAATTTTGAGTAGCTTGTTGTGTCTCTTCAGCTGGGATAAATTCCTGGCAATTAGATGACCAAGGTATTATATTCATATGTTTTTAAATAAATAATTATACTATAAGAAAATAAAGTTATTATATATATATATTATACCTTTATCTGATTTGGTTTTTTTTGAAACATATGCTTGAATTGTTCAATATGTGGACAATGATGGGGCATTCTTCATTTATAAAAAAAAACCAATTAGTTAATTTAGATAAATAAAAATATAATCAATTCAGGTACATTAAACCGTAATAAAGTTGCTAATGGTACAAAGACATTAACATTCAACTTATTCTATTTTAAAAAGTGAAATTATAATAAAATACATTTATAAACACAATCAAATATATCAAAAGATTTCTTCAAAGTAAAAGAACATTTTAAATGAAAATCTATAGTGCTTTTTTGGATCAATAATCTATAGTGATTAAATAAAGGGGATGTGCCATTTAAGTCATATAATTCAACACACTTTCAACAATATAAATTATTAAGATCAGCTACCCAAGAGCACTAGGATGACAGCAGAAAGGCATGAAATGGGTTTCATATGAGATGTGTATACATATTGGGGAAGAAAACATTGGAAAAGAAAAATAGAGATATAAAAAGGTTAGTGTCAAAATCATGAGATTTATCTTAGGATAGAATAGAAAAATTAAAGATATAAATGAAAAAAACTAAATTAAAATTAAATAAAATTGAAAAAAAAATCCTATAATCAAAGTATTCATAACTAAAATAAATTAATTTAAATATTTTCTCTAATTTTAATCCTATACAGTCGATTATAAGGTACAACAATCATAAAAATAGTTAGATCTAATTATTTTTATAATCGTGTATCATAGATTAAATCTATACAATAAAACGTGACATATGATTTATCCATTCAATTTTTGAAATAACAATAAAAAATAAAACAAAAAATGTGATAGGGCAAAAGTGGATTATTGAGCTTACCCTTCAAATCTAGCTACTTGCTCTTGAGTGTGAGAAGATTGAATAATTTGTTTCTTATTCTTTTGACTTGAAGCTTCTTCATTGTATTGTTCAAAATTGATATTGATAGACCCACCAGGAGGCAGCTTTGAAAAATCCATTCTTTCAATCTTTGAAAGAAAATGTATATCTTCAAAACTAACCTTTTTTTTTGTGTTTTCTACTCTCTTATGATTTTGTATTTGATGAATTTTGTGAAGGCTCACAATGTTAATTTATAGAGAGCTTTTACACATTGATAATAATGGTTTTTTTTAACTAATAAATTAATTGATGACCATTCTTGTGAATCAGAAAGCTTTTTGTTAACTCTTGTACTTTAAAAAACATCATTTTTTTGTCTATTATGCAAAAAAAAAAAATTTCTTAAAAAATACTGGACATTAACTAATTATTAGTAATAACAAATGTGAAAAAGTTTCTCAAAAAAATAATAAAAAGAACCTTTTTAATTTTATTTAGTTCAAACTTTTAGTAAATAGTATTTAGTTAATAATTTTTAAATGATGCTAAATATATTTTATTAAATAAAAATTTGTTTGGCTATTGATTTAAAGACCATCTGTACCAAAAAATATTTAATTGTAGGTATAACAAAAATATATATCATAATATTTATGGTACATGTGTCAAATTAACATATTTTGGTATAATTTTTCTTTGAATTAATAATTAAATAAGTTATTATTTAATACTATTTTTTTAAGATCCTTTTAAATATTGTTAAAGTCTAAGCAAACAAAAATCCAAATATATTTCTAGCAAAATAACATTAATATATGATTTTTAGAATTTAATATTATTTCTCCATCTCTAGTTATAAGACTATCTAACATAATTAAGAAATAGTTAGGATTTTCTCTTGTGTTTGCTGTGGGCTCGAGTACCCTTTATTTAGCTTTCTTTGAATGAAATCATCACTTATTAAAAAAAAATCATTTATAAACATTAAAAAAGTTGTTATGATAAATTCGTCAAAAAGTTTACATATTTTTTCCTTCAGTTATTAAAATTCTGAGAAATATATTTTACATTTTCCAATAAAGTTTTAAATATAAATATTTTCGTAAAGAAATAATTTAATGCATGTTGAATTTTGCAAAAGTCTTATATTTATAGACTTAGAAAAGGTGGTTTTTTAATTAATTATGAACAAAATGCATCCTCATTGTTATAACCAGTGGGTTGACAACGTGACATATTTATGTAAAATTCTAGATTTTTGAATTTGAATTATGAGCATCACATTTTTTCTTCTTGCATATAATTATTAGAGTATGTATTGGTCACTAAGCTAATACAAAAATAATTAAAAAGTAAGAGTCTTATCATTGTGTAACAGAAATGTCAAATGGATTTATGCATTTGTTAATATAAAAATTAAATTTGTCAAAAAAAAAATTAAAATTGTAATTATTAGTCTGTTTAAACCACGTTTTACTGGTAGTAACTGATAACCACTGAGTCACTAATACGGTAAGAAGTTATATAAGGAAAGTCAAAGTATTTGTACAAGAAAAATACCATGTACGTATGAAAAATACCATGTACATATGAAAAATACCATGTATGTTAACTGGTTTCAAAAGCTTCGTTGTACAAAAGATAACACAGAAAAAAGAATAATTTAAGGAGTAAGTTCACGAGTATCAGCAGCAGTGCAAGTTATACAAATGAAATACAATTTTAACTTTTTAAAGTAAAATAATTTTTGTTAAAATATATTCATGAAAATTTGAGTTGATTAATAAATTTTATATAAACTAATTCTAGAATCAAAATCTCTAAATTATAATTAAGAATAAAGAATATACACGTGAAGTTTATCCTATTAACCAATTACCAATTACGATCATGTTAAATGCCAAATCATACTATTATTTTTAATAAATTATATGATATGTCTAAATAATAAATTTTCATTAAATAATATTATAAAACTATTTTATACTATCAGTGCACTATCTTTTAACTCATTATAATTTTTTGTTAAAAATATTCTTATATAATATACTATTTAAAAATCAAAGACAAAAATAGTTTATATCAACACTCACACTTCTTTTATTCAAGAAAGTGTCTTTCTCAAAAGATAAATTTGTAAAAGAATAAGAGTTCCTAAAAACAATGGAGTGAACATGAAGCGAGACAATATAAATAAAAAAAATCAAATATATCAAAATCAATTGTAATCTTTGTAAAAGAGTAAAAGTTCCTAAAAATAGTGGAGTGAACATGAAGCGAGACAATATAAATAAAAAAAATCAAATATATCAAAATCAATTGTAATCTTTTAAAACTAGTTTTGATTTCTAATTAACAATTTCCAAAACAAACTAGTGAAATACTTGAGGCTCATACTCTCTTTGATCTTAGTTATAAAAGATAAGTTACGTTTTAGATTTATTGAATAATTAATGTATTTAGTACTCCCTCCGGTCTCATTTATAAGAAAAAGTTAATTTTTTAGATACATTAAATAAGTAATGTATTTGGACAATATATTGTCCAAATACATTACTTATTCAATGTATATAAAAAGTTAATTTTTTCTTATAAATGAGACCGGAGGGAGTATATTATTAGACAAAATATATTATTATTGAATGAGTCTAAAAACTAAGTTGTCTCTTATAAATAGGACTGGAGGGAGTATTGATTAATTTGTAAATAATATGTGTTTATATTAAAAAAATTGACACATACTGCTCGGTTAAGAACTCGAAATAAAAGGTAAGAAAGCGAAGTTGTGTATTGATGCGGTGGATATGTACTTTCGATACATTAAAGAAAGGGTTGGCCTACAAGGTTAGCACTCCAACGCCCAAGATAATGAGAAAAATCTAAAGTAATATATGAGTTAGAATGAATTACAATACCTGAAATGACGCATTTTATCCTTATGTACCAAGAGCGGTTGAAACTGTCCACATTTTATGTGGAGTGTTGTGCAGACAACTGTCATATTGACTTTGGTGGTGATTGATGTGCGGGAGGGAGAAATTGCTTGTTTCTGATTAGAACAAAGGTATACATACTTTACATATCTTTTAACTTAAGGTTCTTTTGGATCTTGTGAACGACATAAAACAGTTGACCCCAAGCTCTTATTCTACTTTGTTGAATGAGGGTTTTGCAATGTACATCTTTAGGCCGATTATTTAATAAAAAATAGTGAAGGGTCTTGATGAGACGTCATTATCATTGCGAATAAATGCATTAATTCTCTCTCTCTCTCTCTCTCTCTCTCTCTCTCTCTCTCTCTCTCTCTCTCTCTCTCTCTCTCTCTCTCTCTCTCTCTCTCTCTCTCTCTCTCTCTCTCTCTCTCTCTCTCTTGATTAATGATATTTCACGTGGAGGCTCTAACACGTGTCCCTATGTCTGATGGTAATGATTTTACCTCCATCCTAGAATACTTGAGTGCTCTGAACAGTCCCTGATGAGATCTTGAACTTCGGTAATGCGGTTTTCACTTTCCAAAGTTATTGGACTACCGATCTTTTACTTTTTTCGTGCCCGTGGATTTGAGAAACGCTTGGTCTTCTCATTCGTTTGTGATTTCTCTCGTTGTTGCAAGCTTTTCGCATTAGCCTTCATCCTCAACCAATTTGCGTCTCTTCTTTTAAGGTGTGAGCTCCCAACTTTGATTCTTTTAAGGTAATGTCTATATTCACATTTCTTCCAATCATGCTTTCATTATTAGGGTTTCTAAAGAAGAATGTCATGCGGTTTGAAGAAGGAAATTGTTTCTAATTTAGTGGCTTATTTCACGTATATTTTAGTAGTAACATTGGACTTATCTTTGAACTTGCCTCATATTTCCATATGTATTCACTTATTCGTTTACAATTTCTCCTGTTGTTTCCAGCTTCTTTCGCATACCTTCACCCTCGACCAATTCGTGCAGCTTCTTTCAGTGTGTGAGCTCCTAACTTTGCTTATTTTAAGGTAATGCCTAGATTCCCCTTTGTTTCAATCTTGCTTTATTTATTAGATTTTATAAAGAAGAAGACCGTGGGGTTTTATGGAGATATTGTTGTTGATTTAGTTAATTATATTCTAGTAGAAACATTGGACTTGTCTCCGAACATGCCTCACGTTGATATATGTATTAACTTCTTTCACATGTTAACATGATCCCTTATAATAGAGGACATTTAACCGGAAATTCAAAATGCTACAAGGGATAACTCATTAGTGTGGTTTGACTAAGAGACACTAGATACTTTTAGAGAACACTTTATCACAACCTTTATATTTCATATAAAATCAATTCATTTTAAACCTCCAGCAAATCGCCATTCTTAAGTGTGCTTCTCAACTTTGAGGGAGTGTGAGATATTTTAAGAGGAGGTTCATTAGGCGCTAATCTTTTGTGAATTTTAAGCTTTAGTCTAAAGAATCGTGTTGTGGTTGTGTAGCTAGGATTGACAATATAGAAAGAGGCAAAAGAAGGGTTTTCTTGTACAGTGAAGACTTTTGTATAATTGAGTTAAGGTTTCTAGGGACGAATGTGGATCTATGTGCTTGCATGTATAATTAAGAAGTGATCCAAAATGATAAAGCTCATGGATAGAAAGATTCAAGAAGCAACTACTTAACTTTGATGATGAAATGGTCTTAATTATGACAAAACTTAAAGTGGTTTTGATGATGATAACACTTGAAGTCTTGAATTCAAGCAACTACTAAAGTTAGATAAAGCGGTCAAAGATGCAAAAGATGGTTGATCTAGATCATCATGTCCTTTTGAATTAAGTTAAAGATATTTTTCTCAACACGATGATGGTAACTAACATAGAAATATCTCAAGTATCATCAAGAAAACTTAAGGTTCTTGTGTGATAAAGTCAAAGATAATACCAAGACTTGAAGCTTTAGAGTGCAAAAGAGAGGAAGTGTGAAAGCTCTCCTAATCATGCATGTCTGGAAGTATTATGGTTAAATCTCACTCTCTCTCTCTCTCTCTCTCTCTCTCTCTCTCTCTCTCTCTCTCTCTCTCACACACACACACACACACACACACACACACTTAAAACATTGAGAAGCCTCTCACTTTTTAATTAAAATAACAAAAAAATAATTTTTGGAGCCTAATCAG